CCCAAGCTCCCCCCCGGGGGCAGGTCCCCCTGGGCCCACCATGTGTAGTGTTTCCCCTTCAGCCCTGCCCCTCTCTTTCTCCCCAGCTGCTGACATTGGGGTTGGCATCAGCGGGCAGGAGGGCAGGCAGGCAGTCCAGTGCAGCAACTACGCCCTGGCTCAGTTCTGCTACCTGCAGCGGCTGCTCTTTGTCCACGGCCGCTGGTCCTACCTGCGCATCTGCAAGTTCCTCCGCTACTTCTTCTACAAGACCTTCGCCGGCATGATGGTGCAGATCTGGTTCGCCTTCTACAGCGGCTTCACGGCCCAGGTCAGGCTGTATCCCTCCCTGCGGGGCTCGGGGTGGGCGGGCACGGCACCCACCCTTTCCCTCCTGCCCTTTGCCCCTGCAGCCAGCCCCCGGAGCAGGGAGGGATGGGGGCTGGGGGCTGGACACGTGTCCGTTGTCTCTGTCCCGGTGAGGTGCCCCTTTCTGGGGCTTTGATACCCCGGACACGCTGGGGGCGGGGGCGGGAGGTAGACGGAAGGCAGTTGGCTGAGCTTCCAGCAGAGGTACCAGGGGACTACAGCTCAGCAGGGGAAAATCCATCAGCTCCTTGGGGAAGGGCCGGAACCCTCCCTGAATTCATCCCACGTGGGCTCAGAAACGTGGGCCCGTTTGTGCCCAGGCCTGGAGTTTGCTGCGGCGTCCACCATCCGCCGCAGAATTGCCCACCAGGAAGCTCAGGCGGAGGTTTGCGAGACCCAAGCTGGGATACTGCAGAAGGTCTTGCTTTTCAGCATGGCACCCAGCCTGGGAACCCGCCCTCTGGACATCAGGCTCCTTCCAGGGCCCTCAGGTTGGGTGTAAACCTTGAGCTAAGTGTCTAGTGCTTTGGGTCATGCCGAATACTCCCCTCGGGTGGACGCAGTGAGGCCTGATGAGGGTCTGGCAGTAGCTCCGAGAAATGTGGAGTCTTTTGTCCAGTCCTGGGCGCCACATTTCCAGGAAGATGTGGAGAAATTGGAGACGCTCCAGAGAAGAGCAACAAGAATGAGGAAAGGCCTAGAAAACGTGGCCTCGGAGGGAGGGCTGAAAGAACCAGATTTGTTTCATATGGAAACGAAAAGACTGAGAGGGGGCTTGCTAGCAGCTTTCCAGTCTCCAAAGCAGGGGGGGGGACCTTTCTTGGGTGGGGGGAACTGACCCACAGAAAAATCCGTTGTGGGCCACACAAAAGTGAGAACCAAAAGATGCTCCCAGGCCTCACCGATGTGGTCCCTGGCTGAGACGTTTCACTCCCTTCGTGCTCCAGCCCCAAGAGGTGGGGAAGCAGGACTGAGGTTCAGGGTTTCCCCCGGGCCAGATTAATTCTTCTGAGGGCCCATGGCTAGTAGATTTTGGGGGACTCCCTAGGCTCTGGGGTTGGGCCAAAAATGGGGCGTTTGGTGTGCAGGAGGGAGGGTGCAGGAGCAGGGTGGGAGGTCTGGGTAGAAGGTAGGGCGCAGGAACAGGCTGGGGGTGTAGGGAGTAGGCGGGACAAGGAGTTCCTGAGGGTGATGGAGGGGCGCTTACCTGCGCTGCTCCCTGGGGACACATGTGGCTCCGTGCCCCACGCTGCTCCCATTGGTGGCGATTCTAGCCAATCGGTGCAGTGTGTGACAAGCCGCCAGACGAGAGGTTCCCTGCGCTGCCATTTCCCCAGCTGGGGGGCAAGAGAGCTCACGGAGCCACTTCCTCCCTGCCGGGCAGAGTCCGCAGGCCGGACTCAGCCCCAGTCTGCCCCGTGCGACCCATGAGGGTCAGGGCTCCCCCCTGCAGCGCGGGGCTGGCGATCCAGTCATGCGTGGGGGTCGTGTGCCTGGAGTGCAGGGGGAGGCCGAGCCTTGCAGGCCGGATCCAGGCAAGCTGTGAGCTGGCTCTGTCTTGCAGGCCATGGGTTCCCCACCCCGATCTAAACGGGTGTCACAAGGAGCAGGGAGGAAACTTATTCTCCTGGGCCTCTGAGGACAGGCCGAGAAGCAAGGGGCTCAAACTGCAGCAAGGGAGGGTTAGCTTGGACATTAGGAAAAAACTTCCCACCTGCCAGGGTGGCTGGATAAATTGCCTAGGCCGGGTCTACACTAGACCACGCAGGTCGGGTTTGTGGGGGAGTAACGTGTCGAAAGCTAGTGCCCAACTTGCAGGATCCCAGGCGCTTTGGGTTTGATCTGGAGTCCGTTGGGGCTGGGATTCAGTGGGCTCTGGATCAAACTCTTTTAGGTCCCTCTGCTTGGGGGCCTGTGGAATTCGGCTTCGGTTCCTCTTGCTGTCCTCTCAGAGCAGCGATGTGCTGCTCCCCCTGGGTTCGTGCTCATTGTCTTCTCCCTTCTCCCCCGTTAGCCTCTGTATGAGCCCTGGTTCCTGGCCCTCTACAACGTCTTCTACACCGCCTACCCCGTGCTCTCCATGGGACTGACGGAACAGGTAGCGTGTGCCGCGTGGCTGCCCCTTGTGGCATGCTGCCTGCGGGCAGGAAGCCTCGATGCGTCCCCCCGACCAGTGGATGAATCTGCTTGCTGCTGCCTGGGGCAGGCGGGGAGCTGCCGGCTCAGCC